TACCTGTCTCTGACCACGTTTGTCTTTCAGTTGTTCTTTTATACCGTCCCATTTTATTGAAGAAGCTGAAACAAAGCACAATACAATTACATAATGTGCTATTAATCTGTAATAATAGTAGATTATACATTAATTTGAAACATTCAAAGACATACACCCTTGATTAATAGTACCATTAATTTACTTTAAAACAACAAGAAAATCAAAAGAAATTATTTTAATAACACACCAAATTTATTTAAATAAGCACACTTTTAAACGACTTTTTTATGTTGATATATCCCATAATGCAGTTTAAACTTAGTTATATTTTACATAACAGATTCAGACAAATTTATAATTTGAAGACCTCTCATTAAACAATATTACATATGAAGTTCATAGTATGAACTAGATAGGTTTGTAGTTGTTCAAAACGGTAACTAAGGCGTTGCTAAGGAACTATTTGATAATATACCTAGGTAAAAAGTTAAATATCACAAAATATACAAAACAAAATGTAGAATATTTTCTATCAGAAAAGATGAAAATAATTTTTCTTAAAAAAAATAATTTATTCACATTTATTTTGTGATGAACCACCTTAAGAAGTCAATGCCTGCATCAGCTGTCTAAAACGGGCCCTTTGGTCTAAAATGGGCCCATAGCGGGCCCGTTTTAGACACTGATAAGGCCATTACAAAATCCTCATGTTGTAACGTTCCGATAAAAAACACATGAAATCGCTCATTTCCTGAGTAATCGTAACAAAAAAACAAAAGCAATAGTGCCCTACCTTGTAACTCGATATGACGATATGACTTGTAGGTCTGTGATTTCGTAACGTCAAATAAAACAAGAGAAATTGATATAATTGATTCGACACGTTTTTACAAGACCCTGTCAATTATTAACGCAATGTAAACAATCATGCATATTCATTAAACTAAGCTGGTTCTATTTGCATTCAGAGTCACCGAAAAAATCCGCTTGGTGTCGTGCCAATCGTGGGGCCCGTTTTAACCTCCCCTATATCTATATATATATCTATATCGTTTTAATCTCCCCTATATCTATAAAAAATTAACTAAAAATGTTTTGTTTGCAATCCACTCTGTAAGTCCCTAAAGTTATCCGTTTGTTTCTATTTTCTCAAATTAGTGGTCCACTAATTTGAGAAAATAGACACACTAATAGTGGATCAAGGATAAAATAAGTTAATGGGGCTTAAAAATTAAGGATGCAAGATTTATTTATGATAAATTTTATCAAGCATTAAGGATGTAATAATTTTTTTCTAATTATCCTTGGTCAACATAAAGTTTGTTTACAATTTTATAAATAAGTAAGAAAAAGTGGTTTCAAAACACAAATGTCACCCTTTAAGGTGGTATCCAGCCATTATTTTGGTGAAAAATTAAAAAAAAAAATAAAAAATTTGAAAAAATGTTATTCATACAATTGAACATTGTAGAATTCAATAGAAAATTTTTTTTTTCAAAAATAATGTTAGAATATCAAGAATATTCTTCTCAAACACATCAAGGTATTTTTATATCACATAGCAACGACCATAGCAACCGTTTTATCCTATTAATCCTATAAGTTAGTCTCTGAAAATTCTTTTTTTAATGTTTTTAATTTATATTGGTCTAAATGTCATAAATCTAAAAAAGAATAATAAGACCAAGGAAAGAAAGTTGAACGGCAATCAGCATAATAATTCCAATAATACCAATAAGCAATTTGATACAAACACAGGAAGTAAAAAGCTAAAAAATAATCTTGAAAAAACATTATTTGATAACGACAAATTTATATTTTTTATGCATTTTAAATAAATGAAAAGTTGTTGTGAAAAGTATGCTACTTGTAATATATGTGGTATAAAGCTTTCCATGTTGCATGATCATTCAAGACACTTGAGTTTTTCTTTGTTTTTTCAAATTTATTGCAGTGGTTGTGCTTTTAAAGATACATTTTTTTCTTCTCCTGTTGTCAAAAACAATAAACCTGGTATAAATACTAGTGAAATTAATGTACGCAGTGTTATGGCATTCAGGGAGATTGGCAGAGGCAGAGATGCAATGTTAACTTTTACCTCCATAATGAACATGCCACCATCTTTATCAAAACCTAGTTTTGACTGTATTAATAACAAACTTTACGATGCTTATAAATCAGTTGCTGAGCAAAGTATGAAAAATGCTGCTATGGAAGTTAGGAGAATACTGAAACCTGACTCTAATATGAATGATGTTATTGATTGTGGTGTTTCTATTGTGGTACCTGGCAGCGAAGAGGATATTCTTCTTTAAACAGTGTTGTGGTAGCAACGTCTCACGACAACAACAAAGTATTGGATACTGTTACATTATCTAAGTTTTGTAAAGGATGTCAAATTTGGGAAGGAAAAAAAGGGACACTCAAATATGAGCAGTGGAAAGTTAATCATTCCTGCCAAGTAAACCACACTAAATCAGCTGGTGCAATGGAGTCAGCTGGTGCAACAGAAATATTTTGCTCTTCAGTAAATAAATATAACATTCGCTATTCTAAATATCTCGGAGATGGAGACACTACCTCGTTTAGCACAGTTATTGCAAAAAAACCTTATGGTGATGACCTTGTTCCAATAAAACTAGAATGCATTGGGCATTACCAGAAGCGCACAGGGAATCGACTGCGTCTTAAAAGAAAAGAATTACGACGGGTAAAACTATCTGAAAGGTATATCTGGTATATCTGGTAAAATGTATCTGAAATATATATATATATATATATATATATATATATATATATATATACATATATATATATATATATATATATATATATATATATATATATATATATATATATATGTATATATATATATATATATATATATATATATATATATATATATATATATATATATATATATATATATATATATAATAACGACAAAAAAATAAAAGTATCTGAAAGGTATATCTGGTAAAGGTCATCTCACGGATAAAGTAATTAACATCTTGCAAAATTATGTTGGAATGGCTATTCGACAAAATTCAAATAGTCTTTTGGAAGTGAGGAGCTCTGTAGCTTCACTTCATCATTGCACTAATTTTAACGCTGAAGAATATCGTCGTATGTTTTGCACCAAAGGTGAAAAAAGCTGGTGTAAATGGCAGTCTGATAGAGCAACTGGTCATGTTACATATAAGAAAAAGGTTCACTTCATGTTACATACAAGAAATAGCTTCATTCATCATTGCACTAATTTTACCTCTGAAGAATATCGTCATATGTTTTGCACCAAGGGTGAAAAAAGCTGGTGTAAATGGCAGTCTGATAGAGCAACTGGTCATGTTACATACAAGAAAAAGGTTCACTTCATGTTACATACAAGAAATAGCTTCATTCATCATTGCACTAATTTTACCTCTGAAGAATATCGTCATATGTTTTGCACCAAGGGTGAAAAAAGCTGGTGTAAATGGCTGTCTGATAGAGCAACTGGTCATGTTACATACAAGAAAAAGGTGATTTTACCGGTTGCCATTATGGAAAAGATCAAGCCAGTATTTCAAGATCTAGCAAATACTGATATGCTTGCAAAATGTTTGCATGGCATGACTCAAAATGAAAATGAAGCATTTAATCAACTAATTTGGAACTGATCCCCTAAAACTATATTCACCTCTAAAGTTGTTGTTGAAATAGCTGTTTACTCTGCAACCATTACTTATAATGATGGTTTTGCTAAGTTATCTTCTGTATTTGATGCTCTTAATATTAAATCTGGTAATTACTTTAAAATTGGTGCAAGTAAAAAAACTCTATTCGGCTAAAAAATATGAACAAAAAATGTCAGATGAAACAAAAAAAAAATAGAAAAAGATTAAGATCTGTTAGAAGAAACTATTTTGGACAAAAATTTGATAAATAAACTGCAAAATATTATTGTGCTGGTGGTTTTTAATGATTTATCTGAGTAGTATACATGATTTATAGTTTTAAAATTGATTTTTGTAGCAAAACAATGATATCTCAATAAAAAAACATTATTTTAGCTTCAAATTTTCAGGATATGTTCATTATTGATGTTTTTAGTGCCTGAACCTGAAAAAACATTTAAAAAAATTAAGCTTAACCTACAATTACCATATCTAATTAGTGTTTTATCGCTAAAAATAGTTTTTATATCATTAAGTCTGCCATTTTTGATTGTTTAAATTTTTTTCAAAAATTTTTGGTTCAGGCACTAGCTACACTAGTGTAATAGCTTTATGCAAAATTTAAACCTTTAATATTGATTTATTCTTAAGATATTTATGTTCTTGTGACGTTAACATTTTCACCTTTTTTTGCTAAGTTAGCATTTATTTTTTATTAACTTAAAAAAAAAATTGCATTACGTTTTAGATTTTTATCTATTATGCTAGTAATTCATCTTAGGTATTTATTATGTGTAAAATATAAAAAAATAGAACTAATGGCTGGATACCACCTTAAAACAAAAGTTGTTACAAAAATTTTGCATCTAACTTATGTTTAAAAAATAAAAAAAGGCGGAGGTGTATTTGATTCACGGGGTTAGGGGAGGGTGGCATTTCTTAGTTAAATTCTATTAAAAAACGGCTAAAATAAATCATCGTTTTAATCACAAGTGATAAAATATATCTCTGCCCTGACTTCTCACAACTTAACCCAAAATATCCCATCATGTGGTGCCCAAATAGAATATATTTTTCAAAAAAGCTAATAGTTTTAATTAAAAAATTTTTTTTAGAAATCTACAAGTTTTAATATAGAGGCTGTTAGAGACGACTGTTAGCACCCTTAATACATGCAATGAGCATGGAGTTATCATATTTTAAGTTAATATAAACAAATAATTTGTCACAGTTTCTTCAAATTAAATCAAATAATCAAAATAAATTTTTAGATAAAAAATTTAATACTTAAAAAGTCATATCTTTTTTAGAATTTTTTGGTTTTTACGATTTTTGTACTGTTTTATTTTTTTATATTTACAGGCTTGTTTGAAATTGAAAGCAATTATTTACAAAATATGGTTAAAGTTCAAAGCTGAAGTACTTAATGTGGTGGCTGCTTTTGACCCACAAGTGTGGGAAGATTCTCACAAGGATTTGCCAGAATGGATAAGCAAAGCTGGTACACTCGAAAAAAGAAGTGACAGTAACACACTTGTTGAAGGAAAATCTAAATTTAAAAATACTGGTGGTAATCAATTTTATTTTTGAAATAAGTTATAAGAATAAGTGACCATAGCAGGCCTTGCGATAAAGCGTCGGGCGATGTGAATTTTACGTCGTCCAAGAGCAATTTTGCGTGTAGCTAGGGCTATTTGCGTCGAGCAAAAAATTTTTTGTTTGAGTATATTTAAAGATATTTTTGAGCGGAATATTAATTAAGTAGTTTACGATTATTTTAAAATTTAATAAAGTATTTTAAAAACCACACGCATATAAAAGTTTGAATTTAAAAAAATTAAACATGCTCATTATTTACAAGTAGAAAAAATTCAGATTAAAAAAAAAGTTTAAATCTTTTAAGCTAACATTTTAATAAAATTATTCAGCAATAGCAAAGTTGTCGATAAAATTAAACAAAAATACTTTCTTTTAGTTTTAGATTTTTAACTTAAATAATTATTTTACGGGGGTTTGTTAGGTTTTAAAATTATTCCACAGATTTAAAAATATTTATTAACTGTTAGACGTATTTAAAGTATTTAAGAGTAATTTCGAGGAAACATTTTAAAAATTGGTGAGCGCAAATAAAAAAAAAAAAAGGATTAATATTAAAACGTATTTTACTTGATTTAATAAAAAAGTACAGTTACTAAAATTTTTGTAAAAAGTAACTCAAAAAAATTACTTAAATAATAACGATCGCTTTTATGTTAAAAGTTACCGAAACTCAACGAAGCGTGCTCAAGAACAGCTGTTGAAAAATAGAACGTCAATAGTTTTTCGAATAATTTTTAAGAATAATTTTTTCGCTGAAATATTTCTTTTATACCTATAAGATTTTTATTCTAACATTTTATTTTACTAGAAATAAAATTCCTTGTTAACATTAAAAATCTATTCAAAACGTTCGTATAAGTTTTTTATTAATATGAGTGATTGTGCTTATCAACCGCTTTATGAAAATAAATAAAAATAAAAAAATATTATATAAAATCGCTTGTAAAAATATTAGCTATTGCACAGTTTTTAATCGTACAATATTGAAATTTCAATTTTATTACTCGCTGACATTTTAAAAAGAAAAAATAATTATTTGAAAAACTTTAAATTACATATTTAAGAAAAAAAAAATCAAATATTAGCATATTTTATAATCTTTTTTAAATTTAAGTTATAATGTTTTTTATACGTTTAGTAAAGACAATACGTGTCAAACGTCGAGAAAATAAGCAAATGTTTTTACATTTTAAAAAAAAGAAACATTCCAAAACATTTTTAAATAATAATATTTCTACATTAATGATTTAAAGTAGTTTTGCGGTAATTAAGTAAATTGGTGCAGTTAACGTCAAAAATTATGAAAAGCAAATTTGACGTCATTAAAAGAATTTAATGACGTCAAAAATCACGTCGAGCTTATGTGTCGCGCAATTTTTATTCATCACAAGGCCTGCCATAGCAATGAAAAAGTAAGTAATAATAGAAATATGATACTAAAACATAATAATGGCAATAAAAATAATCTTCATACGCTGTCTTACTATGTTTTAGTATTCTTCTTGCATGATTTGCAGATACTATCCTCTATAATATTTTAAAGTTATGTTACGTCTCAATCAGTTACAATTGGTAACAAGATTACATTCTCAAATTATTATTTAAATATTAAGTAAATAAACTTGAAAATGCAGTAAATATTTGTTTTACATTACCATATTGCTAAAATCATCTTTTATTTTATTTTTATTGTAAAATAGCTTCGTTTCAATTGGTTACATTGTCACAAAAAAAAATTAAAGTCTCAATTTGCAATGTTGTCTCAATTGTTTTTTTTTTAACTTTTTAAAGTGTAACCAATTGAGATATAACATAACATAACTAAATATAGATTTGAAATGTACTAAAATCTGTTTTAAACATAGATTTTTTTAATGTTATGTTATGTCTCAGTTACCATTTAAAAAAAAAAAATAATAATGTAAAAAAATTTGTATTTGTGATGAATATTTATTATGTTTCAATTCTTAAATGTTTTACGTTACATTATGTCTCGGTTGGTTATACTTTTAAAGGTAATAAGTACATTAAATTGCTTAAGTACCGTAAGTTAATTTAATTTTCAAGTGTACTTTTTTTTAAAGGTAAATACAACTTTTAAAGCTTTGAAAATTGTATTTACCTTTAAAGTCTTTTTCCTCACAGGCGTGGGTTATTTTTTTTTAAATTTCTTTAAATTACAATAGTTTTGACAAACATGTTATTGCGTTTTTAATAATCAAATACATAAATAATCAAATATATAAATGATATTATTAATAAAACAATTTTGTTAAATACTGTACTTCATAATCATGATTTACGGTGTTTAACAATGCATTATTCGAGACATTTTTAACTAAAAATTAAAAAAAAAAAATGCTAATTATCATCGTTTATTATTATTAAGTATTAATTTGTCTTAATTAGTTACTTTTTTTTTTAACTAATTTTTTACGAAAAAAAAATTTCAATTTGCAAAATAACGTTTCAATTATTTTATTTTAATTTATAAAAGTGCAACTTTTATAAGTTAGAATAAAATAATTGAAAAAAAAGTTTAGACTGAAACGTAAATTAACGTTAAAAAAAATCTATATTTGATATGTATTTTAACTACGTATTATATCTAGATTTTGTTACGTTACATTTCGTTTTTTTTTACAAATAATACAAACATAATACTTCATGAGTTTTTATAAACCCTCAAGCAAAAATGTACATAAAATGTCAATCTTTCTTTTGATGTAATTTAATGTATTTCACACATTAATTAGCTCAAGCCAATATTATCAAGTGTATAGTTTTCACTTTCTGTGCAATATCTGCCTACACTCTCTGACTTGATTTAACTTTTTTTTTTCTCTTTCTCTCTCTATATATAGCTCTCTCTACATATAGTAGCTCTCTCTCCATATATATAAATGTACATATGGAAAAACAAAAAGAAAAAAATATAGATAGATACTATAGATTGCAATGTTACGTGTGGTTAGGTAAAAATGTTATGTGTTTTACGTAACATTTTGCATGTAGCGTTATGTTGCAGTGTTATGTCTCGGTTATGTTATGATAACGGAAATTTTGCACGTAACATTACGTTACATTGTTACATAAAATGTTGCGTCTTGGTTATGTAAATATAATGGACATTTTGCACGTAACGTAAAAAATCTCGTTTACATTACAATACCTAACATAACATTAAAATTTTATAGGGGTTCGCTACATTCCCTTATTTTAGGCTTTTCTATAAGTACCTTATTTGTTCTTGCTTACTTTTTGATCTATTTCAAAAAATTATTACATAACTTATTACTATACTTTACATCCTGAACTATAAAATTAAATATTTTTTGTTAATTAAATTAAGTCTAAGTAACATAAAGTTCACAAATATTTTTAACAAAGTCAATATGTTCTTATCTTTAGGTTTTGCAATAGTGATGGTAAGAAAAATGGCTGATCATGAAAAAGATTTTCTTATTAAAATTGAAAGTCTTAAAATTAAATTTACTAAATTTGTTGAAACTTATCACTTGGAGTTATTGATTCAAGAATGTGATGGTAAAGATGCTTTTAGTGGACTTTATATTGATGGCTTGGGTAACAAATCAGAGCCTTCTATTTTACAAGATACTATATCTTGTATACCTGGAGTTAATGGTTATCCAGGTGGTAGCTATATGCTTCAGCAACAACTAGATTTTACTTGGAATATTTTAAGTCAACAGAATGCTACTGATATTGCATTGATGATTGGAAGACATAAAGACAACACAATGTTAATAGGTAATAATGAACGCACGCATATTACATGTGTACACAAAGTGCATCAGGATATTAATGCACGCTCTAAATATAGACTGCATCGAATTTCAATGCCATATACATATAAAAATGAAAAATCAGAAAATCAACCAGGAGGATTTGGTGGAGCCAACAAAGAAAGTGGACTTTTCTATATATCTTTTTCAAAATCAACTGAATATATACTTGACATTCTGAAAGACATACTTGGAGAAAAAGAGGATTGCACTAATGACTTGCTAATTGCCGCCATGCAAAGCAAAGGAGGTGCTTTTTATTATACTCCTGCTGTTAAAGAATTTGGCGATGGTCCAATTGTTGGCAATCAAAAAAATACTCTTTTGATTGATCACTGGAATGTTCGTCATCCATCAAATTATCGTTTATTCTATAATCATAAAGAATATCTGTATCGGATGGGGTTAGCACGAATAACTTTAGAAAAAAGTAAATCTCCTAAAAGAAAAAAGTGTGATATACAGACATATCCTGAGCCGCTATCAGAACGAATTTTACACCTGACTACAAAAATGTTTGAAGATTGGGAAGATACTTGGTTTAAACAAAGAAATGCTGATCCACTTCCTCATTTGGAAGATCAATTTAGAATAAACCGAGATATACCTATCTCAAATTTTAATGGAGAAAAAATACAGAATATAATGTCTGCATCACTTCAAATGCGATGCGCTGTTTCACTTTATTTAGCATTGTCAGAGGTGTATACAACCTCTGATTTAACAGATAATGCAAAGGATTCATATGGTGTAAAAAATGAAACCTTTCAACTTAATCCTAAGGATCTCATAGCTGGTAAAATTCCTGTTTATGGATTAGGAGTTGGTCAGCTAGCAATGCCATATCTAACGAAAGATATAGATGGTGAGTTGTCAAGTGAGCATATTTTAGCTTATGCACACAAATTAAGTGAAACTTCAGGATTTGGTCATGTGATTCCAAATTACCAAAAAATAATTCAGAAAGGTCTACCAACTTTCTTAAAAGAAATAAAATCATACATGGATTTATCAACTGACTCAATGAAAAAGGAATTTTATTGGTGTTGTTTAACAGCATTCAAAGGTATTCAAAAGTACTTAGAAAACTATGCTAATTTAGCTCTGTTTCTAGCTAATCGTGGAGTTGAAAAGGATATACACTTTGCTATCTCTTCTACCGAATGTAATGAACTTTATAGTATGGCTCAAAGATTAAACTGGTTAGCAAATGGGAACGGAAATGGATCAGGTAAACCAAGAAATTTTTTGGAAGCAACTCAATTGCTATTTACTTTACATTGTTGTTTACATCTCTGTTGTGAACCTGTTTCAATTGGGAGATTTGATGTTATACTTGAAGAGTTCTTTGACCCAAATGATAGATCCAATCAAGATGTTGTGGATGCATTTTGGATCAAAATAGGAGAGAAAGTACAATTAAATAGAGAAACCAGGTTGGACTTATATACTGTTGGTACTATTGCTGTTCCTTATAGAAGTGATGGTATGTTTGCCAGAGGGGATGGATGTAACCAATGGGTTCAACAACTTACAATAGGAGGCTTTGTTGCAGATGATTCAGGAGAAAGGGTTTTGCCTTCTGCTAAGCGTATTGAGATTTCTAAGTTATGTCTAAGATCAGCACGTCGACTTCCCTTAAATGCACCTTGTCTTTCTTTACGAGTTTATTCTGGAATGGATGATATTTTACTGAAAGAGGCAGCTTATACTATTCTTAGCGGTGGAGCACATCCAGTTCTTCCTCATGATGACCTATTAATTCCAGCATTGATTAACACAGGACTAAATTCAAAAGATGCTATTAATTATTCCAGTGATGGTTGCTATGAACCTATAGTACCTGGAAAAACTGAATTTTCATTTGCTTATGTTGCTTTACTTCCTATTTTGGAAATGACTTTGAACCGTGGAGCAACTATATCAAATGCTGGTCCCGCTGGTATGCGTGGTTATGCAGTCTCTCGGGATTTACGACCTGATTCTGGGGACATTAAATCATTAGATGACATAAAAAAGCATTTTGGTATGCATTTACGTTTGCAAATGAATGATGCTCTTAGTGGTTTACTTAGTAACTATGGAAATATCAACACTATACTGACTACACCATTGCTATCATCTATGATAGATGGTTGTTTAGAAAAAGGTAGAGATCATTACAACGGTGGTGCTGAACTCAAAATGATTGGACTGATGGTTGTTTCTTTTGCAAATACTGTTGATTCACTTTATGCTATACAAGAACTCTGTTTTGGTGATAAATCTTTTATTACATTGGATCAATTAGTAAGAACACTGCAGTCAGATTGGGGATTTGATTTACAAGAACCTTGGTTTGACCCTGTGGATGGTGAAATTGGCAAGCAAATAAGTGCTGCTAACATGAAACTTATTAGAGAAGTAGCTTTGAGTCTTCCAAAGTTGGGTTTGGCAACCAAAGAAAATGAAAGAAATAAGAATACTTTATCAAGCTATTGTCCTATCACTTTAAAGGAGATCGCCAGTTGGCTTGCAAAGGAGATTGTATTAGCATTCACAGAAGTGACAACACTTCCAAAATATACTTTAAACAACATTGTTAAATCATTAACTGAAAAATATGGTACTTCTGATGAGAAGAATGGAAAAAAACCGTTCATAAACTTTCAATTGGGATCAGGAACTTTTGAAGGTTATGTTGGATGGGGATTAGGGATTGGAGCTTCTGCTGACGGAAGAAGAAAAGGTATTTTTTATTTCATTACTTTAAAATTATTTTTATAATTTTAATTATTTTTCTATTTAGTACAATTTTTTTTTCTATTTGATTTTTAAAACACAATATTGCTTTAGTATTGACATAAGTTTTTTTCTATTCTTTATCTAAAAAGTAAAAATGACAGTAATAAAAAAATAAAATGTAAATAACACTTACATCACATATAATAATAATAATTATTATTATTAATATTAGCAATATTAATAATAATCAACAATCAACCTGACATTTTACATACAGCATATTTCTAACAAATGGACAAAAATATTTTAGTTTGTGATAAAGAGTTATGAACGGTTTTTTTTAAATTAAATTTTTAATTTGAAAAATGTGAATGTACTTCAGCTTTTTATAAAACCAATTTATGAACAGACTTCTCACACTTGATTTTTTATTTTTGATACAACTTGTTTTGTTTCTGAGATTATTGCACTATAATGTTCATAAATTGGTTTTATAAGAAGCTGAAGTGTGTGAGGCATACAAACCATTTGACCATATAGAATATATACTGGCAGGGATAAATCAGTTGGGTCAGACTAAGAATGGGCGTCTTCTTCATTTGTTTCATGTTCAGACTCAGTTTTTTTTTTCAGATTCAGTTTTTTTTTCTATAATAAGATTCTTAAAAATTATTTTAATTTAGTAAAAATTTTGTTTCATATAACTTTAGCAATTTTTATAGTAGTGTTTCATAAAACAAAACATATTAAATATTTAGTTTAAATAGTATCTGCGCACAAGAGTTAATTACTATTAACTAATTAACAATAACTGTTTTTAAAATAAGTTTAATTAGCAGGCATATAAAATACAATCATTTTTTTAACATTGCTAACTTTTAAAATTAAAGTTCTTATTTTATTATTTGAAATTATTGTTTGTAACTAAAAACATCTCTTCCAACTGTAGTTTATTTGTATTTTTTCATTCAGTTTTTTTATTTATTTTTTCTCATAGCTTTTCCTGCCATTTGCAAAATCATTGCAATGAATGAATTTAAAATTATCAATTGGACATTTGCACTTTTTTTGTTTTTTTGTATTGCCTTAAAATTTGTTTTATGTAACGTTAGTAACTGTTATAGTAACCATAGTAACAGTAGTATTTTATAAAACAATTTCTTGTAGTCAATTTAAATTTCTTTTAATATTTTAAAAATTGTTTTGACACTAAAAAAATAAAAAATAAACATAAATTACTTTCCCTTTAAGATATTTATGTATATAGGATCCCTTTAAGTATTCAGTTGAAAATTTTTAAAATATTGTATAAAATTTGTTTTGGTATTCAAAAAAATAAATAAACAATAAATTTCTTGGAATGTAGGACAAATAATTCAATTCATATCCTCATACCGGCTGCATAACTGCTGCATATACTGCTGCATAGCGGCTGCATAAACAATTCAATGCAAACACTTTAAAAGTTAGTTACAGCTCAAACAACATTTCAAAAATCATAAAAAGGTACAACATCAGAAAAAGTTTAAAAAACTCTAAACTTACCTTACAATTAAAAGCCAAGCAAAACCTGCCTGTTGAACATTAATTGTAAAATGACAAATACAACATGGAAAACAAAAAATCTATTGCAAGGAGTCAACTTAACTGACTAATACATGAAATTGATGGTCAATTGTTTTTTATTTTTTGAATGGTCAAAAATTTTATTTTTTTCTTTGTTTAAATTTTTATCGTAGTAACAGTTCCTCATGATTAAACTTTGAAAATTAAAAAACAACTTAATGCTTGAATATTAACAAACTTGAATTCCTTTTAAAATAATAATTTTAAATAAAATCAATGTATTTTTTAAATGGAAACTTGCAAATAGCTATTATTCTATAAAATAACTTATTGTTCTAATTACCTGATAATGTTAATAGTTTAAAATAACTCTCACGCACACAGATTTTTATTTAATTAAAAAAAGGAAGTTTGATAAGGAAATCCAAGAAATGAAAAAACCACTTTATTTTCAAAACAAGTCAATATAAAATCTACTAAATCTAATCGAAAACAATTCATGCGGTAGTGGTGTAGTGGTAGAGCGCTCGCCTCATAAGCGAGAAATTCCAAGTTCAATCCCCACCACATCCCTGTTATTATCGTGCTCAACTTGTTTCTCTGCGCACAGGCCTTGTTCGTTAAGGTTTGTATTTTGGAGTTATAGAGTTAAGAGAGGATTGTAATCACAAAAGTAGCCTCCTTGACTCTAGTGGCCTTCCTGGTTTTGGGGAGGTGAATAACTAAAAAAAAACAAAAAACAAGGCTTTAAAAATAATATACTTTCAACAATAACTTTCTTATTCTGACACCCTTTATTTTCTATCCAAAATACTCAAATTATGTAATCTTGTTTATCTATTGTCTGTTTGTCTGGAATTATAAACATGTAAATCTACCAACCTCATTCTCTAATTTTTTCACCACTAAAAAAAGTTCTTATTTGGTCTTTTATTAAT